TAAAAATTTTATAATTCAAATTCTTCACTTATCTGGAATTTCTGTAACTATCTGACAATTTAGAAAAGATAGTGTGGATTGTATTTGACTGAACTCCAATATATTTCTACTTTTAGTCCTACCCAAGGTATAGAATATTAAACATTTGTACAAACAAAATTAATCGACAAACTTTGATAAAAAGCATTCTGAGCCCTTCATAATATTATTGCAAAGTCTTATCAATATGTTTGTGACTTGTTGTATTATGCTTCAAGAAGATATTATTGCAACGCACCATACAATTAAACATCTACAGGGATTTTAGTAACAGAAATAGTTAACATAATCTTGTCAAGAAGAAGTGGTTACAAATTTGCAACATTAAGTAATAAAATAAATTAGTATTCAAATAAAGATGTAATTAATTCATAAAGTCCTAAGGATCATTAAAAAATAAAATAAAAAAAATTCAACGCTATAATAATCACTTCAAAGACACCACATTTCACCGACAAGCTTATTTTACAGGCGATTAGTTTACAGACAAGTTCATTTCGTAGACAGTTCATTCACAGACAAGGTAATTATAGTTAGTTATAGTCGGTATAATTAGAGTTAAGGTTATAAAAAAAGCTTTGCCGATGGATGAGCTATCGGTGAAATATACAGTCTACAAATGAACTACTGTAAACTAATCTTCTGTAAAGTAAGCTTGTCGGTAAAAAGATCCCTATAATAATTTTTAAATTATAAAAAGTAATTGTTTTTACTAGAGTTAGGAACCAATCTTATTTGATAAATATTTAAATCTCGGAGTTTAGTAAATGTACGGTAATATATTTTTAAGGGTAAGAATTTCATAACTAAATAATAAATGATTAACACTTTTTTGGTAAAATATTTGTATATTTGCGAAATAAATTATATATATTTGTTAATGTTATTTAGTTAAATGAAGTATCAAATATTTTTGTTCAAGAAATAAAATTCAAGTTAGTTCGGTTAATACCGATATGGTTGTAATACACTGTATGAATTAAAGACGAACCTAATATACTGTATACTAGTAACGGCAATGTACGTACAGTACGTATGTACGTACGTATCTTACGGGATATCAAATAATACTTATCATTATTATTTGTTACTCCAAAAGAAATTGCGCATCTTTGAGGCACATCACTAATCAGGATAAATCCGAAACAAATATCTGATCAACATGAAAGATCAGGTTAGCGACACAACAATTTGTTCCGATTGGAGCTTGATAAACCTTGTTTAAACTATTTCAGGTAGTTCAAATGAATTAGGCCTAATCTTGCCATAGCTTGATTTTCTCATTTCTGTTTTAATAATAATATAATAAATTTTAATAATAATCATAATATTAATGCACTCAAACTTCCGACTAATCATAACTGTTTAATATATATTTTTTACAAAATTTCAAAATATATCAATATTTCTTGTAACCAACAACCATTTTTTTTATGTTATATTAAATAGTTTCTGTATTAATTTATAATCCTTTCGAGGATAGGTTCAGATTTTGGATTATAAATCAATAGGTAGTGTTATCAATTTTTTCTTTCATTGGGATTTTTTGGAGCCTTTCAGTGAAATTTTTAATAATAAAAGTTCTAATGGCATTAACAATTTTGACATCCAGTGACAGCATCGTCAATAAGTAAATAAGCATAAGTGAAAAATAAATGAAATATTTGAGAAGTTTTGAATTATTACTTTATTATATAGTTACGTTTACTGTAAAATTATAACTATAAATTACAAGCTTTCTTGTGACATACTCGATCAATTTCTCTTATATTTTTGGACTTGTGAAATACATATATCTTGCGAATATATTAGTATAGGTTTTAAAATAAAATTGAAAATTGATTCTAAACATTGGTTAGATACGTATTCAGTACGTACTTTTAATGATTTGATTCTCTACTGGTTAAACGTTAGTTAAAAAAGAAAACCTTAAATAATTTTTATTACTGTGCAAAGGGTTTGAATTACATCGTATAATGCTGATAAAAATATATAAAGCCTTTTTTTTTGTTAATAATTGACAAGAAGGATGTTAGAGGAACTATAATAACTATGTTATTTAAAGTGGAAAATGCTTAACTTATTAAGTGATAAAAAGCTTATTTCTAAGCAATATAAAATTAGTTAAAAATGTTTAATATGTGAAGATTTGTATTCAGTAAATACAAATTTTTACAGTATTCGGATTTAAAAAAGTATTAAAACAAGGCAGTAATAGAAATTTTATTTCTATTTAACCCTAACAGAATCAATATTATTATAGGAATAAATTTTATAAATAAATACCTTGTTGTCTTTAAAGGTTTCACTATCAGTAATTAAGGTGGATTAGTAGAAGTGCTTCAAATCTTTATGAAAATTTTTGAAAATTTTAAACAAATAACTCAAAACTAAACCAAATTTAAAACAAAACTTTTAAATGAATTCTACAAGTTTATAGAGTTGTTAAACTTGATTAAATCGTTGTTGAGTTTCTTTGTTTAAAATTTTTAAAAAAACTTTACATAAATTTGGTGCGTTTTTACTAATTTAACCCTTATAAACCTTTTGAAGCTTTCTAATGTTAAATTAATTAAATTAGCAAACTTTAAATTTGACTAAAAATTGAAAAACTTTACGTATATTTCTTATTCATGAAAATATAATTGATTTTTATTATCAATTAATATATCCAACTTTTTCAAGCACCTAATACATAATTTAAATTATGTAAATTCGAATCTGAGTAAGAGTTTGCGCTTCGTAAAAGTAAATATAGCACCTTTACTTGAGTAATAAATTATTTATCTATTGATTGTAAGTTTATTGGTTCCCATAGCCCATTTTAATCAGTTTTTGTAACCCTTAAATAGAATTTTTTATTATAAGAATCCGCGGTGAATTTCTAAAAATGTGATTTAGATAAAATCAGAATAAAAATTACACTTTTAAAATATTTTTTATGTTAGAAAACAAATGTAGACTAGAAGTTATCATATAACAGGCTTTTAATATACTTATTTATCGAATTTTTCGACCTAAAATATATATATTTATAAGCTCTTTCGCTTTTGTTAATCATCATTTAGAACCATTTTTTACTTATCCGGTACGGCTCTCACTTTTACTGTAAGTAGTCGTTTTACTTCGCCTTGAACTTTTGCTAAATGCTAGATATCACTAAAGTTGCAAATAGATTAGTTATTTCTATCTTATAACAATTAGCATTACAGTTCATTACGGTCAATAATCAATATATCAGAATTTTTAAGTCTATTACTGTATTAGTAAAAATTTTTTTGAAACTCCATTATTTTATAGTTTTTTTTTTACTAATAGACATATAATGGATTTATAATAAAGGTTTAAATTTAAAATTCGTTATATCACTTATTTGTTATATATATGTTCATTACAGTATATCGATACTGTCTATAAACTCTACGAAAATATCCTGTTCTATTTCATTTTCGATGATACATACAAAGGATAACTTTGAAAATGTAAATCTTTTTATGCACTTCAGCCACATGGTTTTTTGGTCTAACTTGATGCATATAAAAATAAGGATTTCAAAAGTTTATGCAGAATCTAATTAAAGAGTAGTGCAGAAACGAAACGTTTCTTTGAAATTTCAAACCCTTTTAACGATTGTTTAAAAAACTAAAAAAAATTTATTGACATACTATATTACTCTTTTTGAAAACTTTTCTTTGTTCGACTAAGATAAAATAAAATTTCTAGAATTTCTACAATAACAGATAATAGTTATCGATATTTGTTTTTTCGTTTTTTTTTTTTTTTTTTAGTTACTTAAAACATGGCGATTCCCCAGTGATAAGGCCAATTAAGGTATTATGTGCTCACGTATATGAAACTGAAACTATAAACATGTTTATACAAGTATATGAAGATCGGAGCTTCGTTACTATTCAGGGCTGTGGCTGTAAATTTTTAATTGATAAAACGGTAAAAAGTTAGAAAAAAAACCCCAAAAGTCCAAAAATTCAAGTGGTATCACCAGCCTAAAGCTATTGCTTCCTTCATCCTTAACGTTAAATTTATTTATTAACGTTAAATTTATTTATTAACGTTAAATTTATTTATTAACGTTAAATTTATTTAGTAATACGTACAAAATAATTTAATAATAATAAATATTAATAAGTATAGTACGTAACAGTACATACGTAATATTGTAATAAATAATGATTAAATTTAGTGACTATCATCATTTTGTCACATTCTACCGCATATACAATTTGGGGCTTTGTCAATTACCGAATGTATATATTATTATAAATAAAATATAAAATATAAAATACATTAAAATAAAATAAAAAAAAAATTCGAAGATTTTATATATACAAATAGTTCCTAAATACCGGTACGTTCGTACAATACATAGGTACGCACATAAGTGCTACATAACAGAGTTGGAGAAATATTTATTTATTTTTTTTTTTATTCTTACGTACGTACGAACGTACTTACATACTTTGGTAAAAAAAACTTTGTATTATTATTTTTATTATTTTTACAATACATAAAAACTAGTATTATATTATTTCCTCTATTATTTTTATTAAACTAGTATATACTATGTTTATATCAGTTTATATTTGAAATCTAAAAAGGAAATAAGCTACACAAACAAAATAATAAGCAATTGGATTTTATTGAAGATAAAAAGATCTTCCATTGTTATTTTTAACTCGGTATTTCATAGAATTGTCACTCGCGTACACTACTCCTTTGAGATTAACGTTGGTTATCTTTTTTTTTTTTTTTTTCTACATCCGTTTTATAATTATTTTATATAATATAAAAGATTCTTATAATAAAAAAAAATGTTTGCTATTTTTTAAGATTAAATAAGGTTTCACCACATAATACGATAGAAATAAAGATCGTTCGTTCCAAAGTTTTACTACAGTAGTTACGACTATTCAAAACTAATAATTTTTTGTTTTCTAAAAAATATGGTAAGTGTTACTTTATATTGCATACAAAATGTTTTTAATCGAAAAAAATTAAATTTATTATAAATATTCTTTTATTCTTTATCACTTTTTATATTAAAAAATAGCCTATGTTCAATCATCAATTTATTAATAACGATCAACAAAACAGTTCACCATCGAGTAGTAAAGTCAGAGTTTCGGATAAAAATAACAAAAATTTCACGAGTATGTCTAATGACCATCTAAAAAATGAAATTGCCAGACGTGCTATGGCTGTAAGTTTTGTGTTATTAAAAATATAAAAAATTTTTTTTTTATAAACTTTATTTATTTATAACTAATTAATTATTTAATTTATTTAAAGGTTGTTGAAGCATATGAAGAGCTTGGAAATGCTTGTAGAAAGGCTGAATATGCCGTTAGTCAACTTAAAGGGTTATTACCTCCAGATACAAACGTAGTTCTTCCTTCTGACGCTTCTATACCGACATTACCGCCATCTTTACCAAATAATAAACCTCCTCAAAATTTTAATATACCTATATCATACGATAGAAATGATAGAAATGATAGAAGTTTAAATTCAAATACTGCTACTAGTTCATCTAATACAACAACGTCAGGAATGAATGATGATAATATGGTAGCTTCACTTTTGATGTCTCTTACAAATGCTTCTTGGGAACGTAATACTAATTCGGTTGAGAATGATAAAACAAATAATGATTCATCAATGATTACAAATTCTCCTACTTCTTCTAATCCTGGTATTGTGTTGGGTTCTTTTGATGGTTATAGTCTTGATGACGATGATGAAATATATGATCAAAAACATGATTCATCATCAGAGCAAGATCTTGATGAGTCTATGATAGATAACGATGAAAATGATCCGTCTGAATCAACAAATGCTATCAATAATGATGATATTGATGTTGATGTTGATGTTGTTGATGATGATAATGATGTTGTTGATGATGATAATGATGATGATGAAATGAGTGATATAAATATGGTTGATAATTCATCTCAAGACAATAAATCTTCATCTATAAATGATTCTAATTCTGAAAGTAATCGAAAACGAACTTCAAGTAATCGTAGTCGAACTCGAAGAAAACCTTCGGTTAGCAGAGTTTCATCTCCTTCCTCTCCTTATTCAACGCAATTCACTCCAGAAGAAATTTTATTCCTGGATGAATTTAATAAATTGTACGAAAAAAGAGTTCAATTAGGTCCAACTAGACAAAGTGATATTGCTTCCGAAATCAGGCAATTTGCCAACAATGCTATAGCGTTTGGACAGCCTGCTGTTTCAGGGTTGGTTAGAAAGACTAAAGTACCTAAAGAACAAAGAGCTGTGAATGCTTTGAAAGCCTGGATTGAAAGTGGAAAGAAAAGATTAGGTGTTGTATAAATTTTTTTAGCTAGATTTTTTGAGGTTAGTTATTTTTTCTTTATCATGTTTTTTAATTAATTAATATTTCGTAATTTCATTACTAACTTTATTTTTAATTATTGTTTAAATTTAATAGAAATGATCATCTGAATGATCATTTATTCCCCTTATCTTTTTTTTTTTTTGTTAATATATATATTCAATTCCCAAAATTTTTCAAAATTATAAAATTAGGCAATTTTCTACCCATTATTACGTTTGATTACGTTGTTTCATTTTTTTTTTCTTTTAATTTCTGGAATTTTTTTTTTCTTTGAATAATGAATGTGTTTTGCTCAATTATATGATAAAAAACTGCAACAAATTTAATTTTGATGCAAAAACTTAAGAATTTACAACATAAGAATGGATTAAAATGCATTAATTTTTGATGAATAAAATATAACTGGAAACTAAAGTTTCCTATTTAGACTAACACGGAAAAATTAATTATAGAGGTTGAAAAATCTTGAAGCAAAAGACTAATTCTTATAAATAGCTTGTCAATTTATGAATTAATAATTTTAAAAAAATAAATATTAGATTAAGAAGACAAGAATTTTATTAAGGTTTGATTTTTTTATTATTGTTGTATTTTTATTTTTTTACAAAATTTCTTTATAAAATTATATTTTGATAGAAACACTAGTCGAAATAAAGCATGTTCATATCGGAACTGATAGAGCTGTTGATAAAATATTAGAAATCTGATAGCTCTTATAATTTTATCAATTCCAAGATGAACCTGAAAAATGGCACAATTTTAAGCCAATAATCAGTACAGAAATCAGTACAGAGAGCAATAATAAAAGTGTATTTATGAGAGTCAAGTATATACGAAGAGGCCTTTCTAAATGCACCACCTCCTTAGATGCATTTTCAACTTCTGGCCTAAGTATATACTTGACCCATAAATGCACTTATTGTTCTCTAAATACACATTGCTATAGTGTGCATTTAGAGAAGCTTCTCTGCACTTGGGCCAGAAGTTGAGAGTGCATTTAAAGAGCTAGTGCATTTCGGGACTGACTAAAAAATTTGTTCGATATGCTTTATTCTGACCAGCGGAAGGTAATAGAACATTTCAAAATCTATTGAACTAAACTTTATACATGAAAATACATGAACGCAACATCAAAAAATAAAAAAAGATTTATAATCTTTCAAAAAAGGTATCAAATTGCATATTTCAGACATGAACTTTTAATATAATCTATATTTTACAAATCCCCACATTTTAGCAATATTATAAGTGAGAATTCCTTAGTTTGAGGATTATTTATTTTGTATAAATCTGATCCTAATTTATCTTTTATTAAATTTCTGAATTAATTAGGTTATTCTTCATACTATTTTCGCCTCATGATATCATATTAAAAGTAGGAGTATCTTTAATAAATTCAAAAGCTATTGAATTCTGTTTTCATTTACAATCTTATATATAAAATTTAATATTAGGGTGCTGATAATAATAATCTGTATCGGTAACTAAAAATCAAGTTTAAGTTATAATAACATATAATATATTAACTATATACTTTTGGAATAAATATGGTTATTAATTTATTTCAAATGCAGATAAGAATCTAGCTATTTAATATAAAGACGTTATGAAATATAATCTTAATTTGTTCTTTATATTCATAAGGATTTAATTAAATGTATTTATGATAACAAAATTATAACATACACCTATAGTGTTTAAAGATACCGGTGAAATTAAACTAGTGTGTTGACATAATATTATCAATATAGTGAAAATTGATGAAGTTGAGTTGATGGAATTGGTGAATTTCATCTGTACCTTAATTCAATATCATGTATAGTTATAGGTTTTTATTATATTTGTTTTATTATATTTGTATTGCAAAATTTTCTAGGGAAAGAGTCAAGGTTAGAAAGTTATGAGGCGCCAAGCATTTTCACTTAGAACATTAAGTATTAATTGTTTAATCGGTTTTTTTTTGGATAGCAATTATGACTTACATCTATGGTGTATATTAATAACTTACATCTATGGTGTGTATATTAATAACTTGTATGAGGATGATACAAATTCACTTCAATCCTTTTTTTATCATTATTTATATCGGATGGGTAAAAGTCTCTATACAGATCTTTTTAAAAGTTTCTTATAACTATATATATCAATATACTGGTATAATGAAACAAAAAGGGTGATTTTGAATATTCCTCATCCACATTATAGGATTTAAAATTTTACTGATACCACCTTCGAGGTTATAACAAAAAATGATCTTACGCTATTTTATCCTAACCCTGATGAGGAATAAATTACTTCTAACAATAATATATCATTTAGTGATTAACAAAAAAGGTCCTATCTATGGACATCCGGCACTACATTTAAACCCTTAATTAAAGCACAGAAGCTTAAAATATTAATATAAGAATATGCATTAGCAGAAACTATAAATTATTGAATTTAAATGAACTTTTTTTGAAGTTCAATTATTTTAATTAACTCTTTAAGTGTTATTTTTTAAATGTTATCTTTCTAATTTTAATACGTTTAATACGTACAAGGAAAATTTAATGAATTAAAAATTGTAGATTGATAAATTAAAATTGAAATAAAGAAATTGAATTACAATTTAGATTAAATTGAAAGTTTCAAAATTTAAATTAGATATTAATCAATTTTAATAATTGCTTTTTTTTAATTTGTTTAAATAATTTAAGAATTTTGAGTAAATAATAACCATATTAATGTAATAAAAGTTTTGAATTTTAAATTATAATTGAATAATACAGTATATAATTATAAACGCAGTTTAATGAATTTGTATCGTCAAAGTAAAAATTATATCAAAATTAAAGCACAACTCTCGATAAATAAATAGCAATATCGTATTGAAAAAATACTATTAGAATATTATATTGCGATAAAATTTTATACAGTAGCATTGAAAATGGTATTTATTTTGTATACAATTTAAGCAATTTATTTACTTTTATAGAATGGTTTTACGATAAAAAATTTTTTACAATTTGTAATATATTACAAATAAATACCGTAATGAAATTTTTTACACAACATATTATTTGCAACATATTATTTGCAACAAATTTTTTTTTTTTTGTGCATTGGCTGTACATAATTTTATTACCAAAATCAAAAATTGTAATCTCTAACCTTTTTTTGTAAACTACAGTAACCAATATCGATATTATCATCTTAAAAAAATACTTTAGGAAAATATTCCTTTTAATTAATATTCCTTCTACAGTATCTATATAGAAAGTGCTCGCAAATGATTAGTAAGCATCACATGACAATATGTTGGGCCTTTTGCTCGCTTTATCAGCATCCTATCTTATTCATATTTTTGGAACATTATTTACCCTGTATATAGCGATATAGCGATATATATGTAAGGTCCTTTTAATTTTTTATATACTAACCTTTTTCGATTAACGCATACTTTCAGTAATTGTTGTCCTGCAATTTTTACTGGAGTAGTGTAATGCTGTAATTGGCTCAGTCACAATTACATATAAGTACGTATTATACATACATAACAGATAAGTATTTACATATGTGTATGTACGTACATACGTGCGTAAACCAACTTTTTAATTATGATCTAATCTTGAGTATGTACTGTATGTGATATTTAAAATGAATAATATATATATCCCAGAGAATGTGATTTAAAATTATTACTTTAAACCTATCCGGCAATTATATAGGCCGTCTTGTAACACAACCATAATTAAATATTACTCGCGAACCAATATCTTTATATTATCTTTATACTGTAAATGCCAAGATTTTTAATGTTTCAAATATTCGACATACACGTAGTCAAATACAAAGTAGCATGCCAAGCCTAGGGTTTAATATGGGGTTATAGTATGAGGAGAGCAATTGAAATACAGTAGTATCTTAAAATAGCAAGTTACTGTAATTGCTAAAATATGATATTAACAGAATTAGTCAACTATAATAGGGTATCATGGGATGTTTTATGCAGTCTTAAAGCTTTATATTTATAGCACCGGGGGGATTGAATCTGACATTTTCTTTATATGTCATTTGTTCAATATTATTATGCACACAATTTTTAACATAGGTTAAATGAGAGTTCGATTAATGACATTGATTGATTGTCAGCTGATTCGAATGTTATCCTTAATTTTCAACTTCAATTAGTTCAATTAATTCAATTAGTTCAATTAGTTCAATTAGTTCAATTAGTTGACTTTTTTGTAGACTAAAGTGATTACTCAATTCAAATTATCATTATTATTCTGACTTTTTATGTAACATAAACTTCAGGGTGGCGTACGTAAAGTTATAAGTGGTACAATTTGCAAAATAATTTTTTTTATAACCCTTAATGTCGATTGAAGCTGCATATGCAACCACACCAATTAAATTTTTCTATGTGACTAACGATAATTGTATTTAATATAGAGTATAAAAAAGTATTTAGCAATGTAAAAATAATAAATAAAAATTTTGTAAACTCAACGTTAATCATATTAAGAATTCTAAAAAAATTCATTGTTATAGTTAAATATATAAAATTTTCATAACTTCATCCCCAAGGTGAAAACGAAACTTTATATTTTCGTTTTTTTTTGGGGGCACTAAACTACATATGTAAGTACATGCGTAAGTCTTACATACCGGTACATAAATAAGATGAATATATGCAGGTACAGTGTATCGGATAATCCTAAATAAATACGTATATTTTAATTAAAATTCTTGCCTCATAATTCCGTCAGTTGTTTTTTATATTAAAATACGACGGTTTTTAGTTTAAAAATGTGTTACATAAGAATGTCACTATTGTTTACCATTAAAATAATTTTTGTAACACACTCTATTGTTGCTAACTAGACTTGTATGACAATTAAATAAAAAAAAACTATTTATACTAATACAAATAAAGAATTATTTCGCATTTGTATAATAAAGTTTAATATTATTGGCAAAATATATTGTT